AAGTAGATGAAAATTAAATTCTTTATCTATAGTATTAATAACTCTTCAACACTCTTTTCAAAACTCATGCCAAAAACATATTTTTTAAATGACAGTTACATTCCTTAGATTTAGACTTTATAGATAAGAATTTTTGTTTTAAATTTGACAAATAATCATTTTTGTTGAACATCTTAATAGTACCAACTCAAAGAGATTTTGATTTTGTATATGAAAAAAACTTGTTGGAACATAAATGATTAACACTCAAATTTTAATTAATAACAGCACATTAAGATTTGAATGAAAGACTAAAAAATTGATATGTATTTTAAGTTTGTAGTAAAAACTCTTGTAAATTTTTTTAAAATGACGTGTTTGTTAAAATCTATGGTCACAAGGTCACAACTTTGATAAGTTTAAGCACCAACAAATTAGTACATGAAAGAGTCCTCATGCTCCTTGAAAAAGTCCTAATGCTCCTTTAAAGAACTCTATGTATAGAGAAATTTGTTTGTTGAGGACTAAGTTCTTATTTCAAAAGAAGATATGATAAGATGATCATTCATCAACTTGCTGCAAAAATCTTATAACTTCTAAGCCTTTACTTAGAATTCATGCTGTAATGCTTCTTAATTATATTTGATCTAAACAAGTTTTTATGTTGACTATTTAACAAGCTTTTCCTTGTTCATCTTTGAATGACTTGAGATATGTTCTTGATAGTGGTTCTTAATTTTGCAATTAACTTTTTAAAGTTTATTAAATAATATATTGATAATTTTTGTAAATATATCTATCAATTCTTTTGTTTAAATATAAGCTTAGTTATTTTTTTATCTTTTGATCTTATATTTGTGAAAAAATTGATTTCTTTATGTGCATATTATTATGTTTTAGACTTTAGACAATCGATGTTGCTTTAGATAAACTATTCTAACATTGATACTCAAGTTTAACATTATTTGTGGTTACCATTCAATTGTGTCAGAAGTTAATAAAAATTCACAAGACCAATTAAGTCAAAGCATTATTGTGTGATAAAAAAGAAAATAATATTTTTAATATAATTTGTTAATCATTAAAGTAAAATATAGAACCTTTAATTTAAGAGGAGTTTTGAACTTAATAATAAATACTTTCTTTCTTTTAAGTATCTTATGCCATGGCATGACTCAAGCTTTTCTTAAGAATAATCATAGATCATACCACAACCTTATCATATTGGTAATAAAAATACAGCAACATATAATGGAACAAGAAGTTGTAAGCATTTCAATTCACTAACAAGCTATAAATGGTATTATTTAGGTTCTACAAAAGAGATGAACACTCGTTTTTTTCAAGCAAATGGACAAAGTCTCATTTCTTTTGACAAAAATATTTATTATTGAAGTTGATCATAGAGAATTTCGTAAGTGAAAATTTATCATATTAAAACAATTTGATAACGAGATTTATGTTCTTAATTTTGTCAAAGTTTATTGATATTGTTTATTTAAGTTGTTGGATGCTTTCATTTTTTTTATTTAATTTTTAAAATAATGTATGTTTTGTCATAAATTTTAGCACAATCTTACTTTCATTTCTTGTTGAGTGAAGTTTTAATTTTACAACAACAAGGTTCAATTATCTAAATATGTCTAACAACGAAACTTAATATTTATTTATTTTGTAGAATAATAAGTCCTATTTCTAATACTAAGCATATGTCGATACTCTATCAACATATATTTAAATCTTATGACTAAGATTTTTTGTGTTTTTATGGACCATTTTACTTTTCTAAAATGCTAACAACTTCCTACGTAATCACAATAAAATAAATAGACTATCCTATTTTCATGAGATTGCACTAAAATCAATGACAAAAACTTATGCAAGGGAAACCAATTCCACGTACTAGTATAAGCTCACTAAGATAACACTATATAAAGAGTGTGAAAAGCCAAGTTATCTAGTGTAGTGAGGGGATTTGAACAACGTATGAAGGATTGATTTATAATTTTAATAAAATAACATACATAACTTTTTAAATCTAGTTATTTTAAATTAAAGATTATAACCTCTATTATATCTAAGGTTTGTAATATGACTTGTGTGTTGGAACACTTCATTTGACGTTGTATATCTTAAACATCACTTTAAAAATATTTTCCTATACGAAATTATATATAATAACAAAATGTGCATTAAATGGGGTTGGTACGTAAATTTAAAATTAATGTTTTTAAATATAAAATTTGTAAAATTGAAAAAAGATGGTTGAAATCTCTCTATTCCTACCCAAAAATTTAGTTTTTGTATATCTTATCAAAAATTGGTAAAACTTTTCAACTTCTATTTTTTTTTTATGTTGCCTTGCCAGTGAAATAATTATTTTCAAAAGGTAAGGACTAGTGATTTTGAATTTTATTTTTTGATATTTACTCCAAGTTAACTAATTTTTAGCAACATACAATTATTAGAGAATGGTAGAAAGATTCACCATAGCAATGAAAAGTTTCTCTAGCTAAATTATTGTTAGTGATGATGAGAATTTGAAATTGATTGAAGTTTTCAAGAAAATGACAAAGTTAAAAGTTTAATCTTATAGAAAAAGAATAATTATCACTTAAAATATGTGACATTTCGTGCTGTTGAAAAAATGTATAGATGTAAGCAAATTAGTTATATCATATACAATTAAACAATGAATAAGATATTTATAATGAAATTGGTTAAATGATCAAATTTCTCATGAGTAAACTTATTATTTTTAAGTTACAAATTATAATAAAACTCTCAATAGATAAAACACTTCTAATTAGAGTTAGGAAAAAACCTAGTTATTTAACTAAAAAACTTTCAATTTATATAGTAATATATTAACCTATTATTTAGACGTAATGACCAATTTAAGTTTTATAACACTAATTTTAATAATTAAAATAACTAATTGTAAGTATTTTATTTTTAACTTTTTATTAGACACCATTATGTATAAATAAAAATGTCTATAAGATAAACTAAAATAATTTGTTCTTAACATTAAATTTACAAATTTTATATCGATCTTTTCATGGGTGGATAAATTTTTAAATCAATTGAAAATGCAAAATTTTAAACAATCTGATATTGAAATCAATTTTTTTTTAAAGGGTTAAAGTCTAATAGAGTAAAGTGAAAAGTTTAAAAAAAGAGAAAGAGAAGAAGAAAACAAAAAGTAAAAGGAATACAAGATGAAGAGACCTTAGAGAGTGAAAAAAAAAATAATGGATTCAATACAAGATGAGATGACATCCTTACATAATAATCACACTTACCACTTGGTGAAATTGCTTATGGAAAAGAGAATCTTAAAAAACAAGTAAATATTTAGGATGAAACATAAGAGTAATTCCATATCTTTGAGGTACAACTCCAAATTAGATAGAAACTATGTGTCTAAATTAAAAAAGAACTTATCTAACTTAATATAATTTCGAGGTAGTGGTATAAAAAGTTTAAAACTTGTTTTGAGATTGCTAAGTTTACTGTCATCTATATATAATTGTGAAGGAGAAATATGTTGAGTATTGAGTTTACATGGATTAAAAAAGTTTAAAAATCAAATAAATTATAGGAATAAACAACTATATTAATTATAACTTACTGTGTATGATTCCTTTTGTTTATCAAAATCAATTTTATAAAGAGTAGAAATAAATTTGAAAGAAGTAAAAATTTTACTTTTCAAAAATTATAGTATAAGTAGTTTTTTAAAGTAATCTAATTTAATAAATACAAGAGAAAATAATGTGCAAAACACAAATCAATTATATGGACAAAATGTAATTGTTGAAGTTTGATGTTAAAAGCATTTTCCTTGATATTGAGAAACTATTTTTATGTCTTTTAGTATAAATTTTAGATAAAAATGTTTTTACATTGTTACATTTAAATAATTTATAATTACTTTCTAAAATAAAGTATTTTTAATACTTTTAACTAAAAACAAAATACATTTTACTTTACATACAATTTCTTAAAAAAATGTATATATAAATGTCGAATCAAATTTTCAAAGTTTAAATAAATAGACCCTGATTTTGAAATGTGGTCCCCTAATGAGCATTGAAACATAAGCATATGTTGTTGGAAATCACAGCCGGGAAAGTTAGGAATTAGGATTGATCTACTACTTTGTATGCAATAAGCCATTTACAAATATATAACAACCGGTTACTAGGTATAAATTAGTTATAATGGTATCAATTCTTTTAGACAGCAAACATTAAATTTAAATTTGTAGGGCTTGGATACTTATTCTGTGTTTGTGGCATCATTCTTTTCATTATAAAAATAAAAAATAGATTCAAAAGTAACGCATTACTTATATTAATAAACTAAAAGGGTTTTGGTTGGGGCAAATAAAGCTTGAAGTTAGACAATGAGACATAAGTTGAGGCTATTTTCCTTAACACCATATATTCTTTTCAGAGTGAATTATTGCAAGAATCCATTTTGTTTTCATGCAAAATAATGAACGACACAAAAATATGATTACGCTTCTTTCAATATCATGGAATATTATTATTCCTTCCCTAACAGAGTGACAACCTATTGGTTTAAACCCAACCTTCTTTTTCCTGTTTCCTTCAAACTGCCAAGTGCCAACCCTATTAATGTGACCCGCAGTATTGAATCAGCACATTACCACACTCTATTTTCTATTTTCTTCTTCAATTTTATTTAAATATAAGTTAAATAACTAAAAGGCATCAAAACAGAACATAGGAATGAAAAAGAGACAGCATGCAAGCACCTTTTTCTTTCTATTATTTTTACCTTTAATTTTTTTTTCTGTTTTCATCGCATTTTATTTTATTTTTCAAGTAGCGTTATTTTGTTGGACAATATTATCAACACGATGGCCAATCACATTGAGCCACGGTAGAAACAATTCCGGTACCCTCGATGAAGTTGAAAGCAAACTAGCTGACGTGGCAACAAGTGGGGTGCACAGAAAGAGTGTGCAACGCAGAGAATCAAACATTTGAAAAGAAAATCTATTACAAGCCACAAAAACTTGTGGCCAAGAATCGAAACCCCATGGTGACGTGGCACCTGGCTCTGGTTTAAACGGATCAAAATCCAATTCGTCGTGCCTCCATTGCCAACTTAGATCAAAACCCAAACCTCAAAAAAACCGAACACTGAAACATTTGCAGCAACGAATTAAACAACCCGCCCTAACTGCAGCCCCTCGCAACCGTAACCATAACAACCATCTCGCGCGTTTCCAGTCGTGTTGTTTCTGTTTCGATCCCCAGAAAATGCAGGAAACTAAGGACCCTGCAATTAAGCTCTTCGGCCAGAAGATTCCTTTCCCCGGTGAAGCAGAGGTTCCTGCCATTGCCGGCGGCCAAACTGTCTCGCCGGCAGCGATGGATGTGGACAAAGAGATAGAGGAAGAAGAGGAAGACGTTGGAGAGTCAGAATCTGAAGAAGAGAAAGACCAAGGAGATAAGGTACAGTTGGTAATATGATTAAGGACACAAGGAACGGTTTTTTGTTATACGTTTGAAACTTTTTTTTTCTAGTGTTTTTTTCTCCTCGTGTCAAAATTTCCCTCTTTTGAAAATCCTTTCCTGTATTTCGTTTTTACTTAAACTTTTGCAATTTTCTTTTTTATTCAAGTTGTTTTGCGAATGCAAAACTGCTATGTACTCTCCTTTTTTTTTTTTGTTTGAAAATAGTACTTCATATGTTCTCCGATTGCGAATTTAGGATAATATTTCAGTTTTTGTGTCTAGGATCTGGAATTTAAGAAACAGAGTGTTCAAAGCAGAGTTGATTAAGATAAAAGTAAAGTTTTGCATTAAGTGGCAAAAACTAGCTAATTTCTGTTTTTGTGACTCCTTCCCTTGCTTAGGAAGGGAAATACAATGTTTCTATTTGTAAATTTCTTTTTTAAGTTTCAGTTGATTTTTTCCCCATTTTAGTATTGATTAAACTATATGCTCAAGAATTTCACCCAAAGATACATGAGGAGCCTGGGTATTTATTTTAACATCAATTAATTTTAATCTTTAAATAAACAGACTGGTCCTCCTTAAAGAGGTGTATTTCTGTCAACACTGTCCACCCACTCATACTTCTACTCAAATATTTTTGCTTATTATCTATTATTCCATTTGAAAAAACTTTAATTTTCATTTTTATACTTTTATCAACGATGCAAAAAATATATTTTTCTCTTCGAATATTCAGCTCCTTGGGTTAGTTCCAGAGTCTAAATTTTCTTAACCTTGGGAATTGTTGCTTTTCATTTACCGTATTCTAGAATACGTTTATGTCGTGGAACAAGTTTCAATTGGCAATTTCATCAGACTTGCTCGAAATCGAATTACATACTTTTCAGTATCTGAAATCAGATTCTAACATGATTATCCGTCTTTCAATTTTTATTTAAGATAAAAAATGAAGCAGCAGATATTTGAAATTTCTTCCACGTTCATCTTGATCTAGCGGTTGTTGTTATCCCATTTGGAATTATGGACTAACAAATTCACCGTATGTATATTTGGTGTTGTTATTTGAAATTAATTAAGAAAAACATTGTGTCAAATTATTAGGATCCACGAGCTGAAAAAGTTACTGAGAAAAAGAAAGAGGCTGATCCTCCTCCAAATGGTGCAGAGACAAAGAAGACTTCAGAGGGTATTCAGAACCCAAAGACACCATCCATAGACGAAGAGACTGCAAAGTCAAAAAACGGCAAGTCAGAGAATGAGCAAAGTGATGCAACCAACAACAATGAGAACAACACCAAAACACTGAAGAAGCCAGATAAAATACTCCCATGTCCACGCTGCAACAGCATGGACACAAAGTTCTGTTACTACAACAACTACAACATTAACCAGCCTCGTTATTTCTGCAAAGCGTGTCAAAGATACTGGACCGCGGGTGGAACCATGAGGAACGTGCCTGTTGGGGCAGGAAGAAGAAAGAACAAGAACTCTGCCTCGCATTATCGCCACATTACAATCTCTGAGGCCCTTCAAGCCGCTAGAATTGATGCCCCTAATGGGACTCATTTACCCACTTTGAAAACCAATGGAAGAGTCCTCAGCTTTGGCTTAGACCCACCAATTTGCGATTCCATGGCATCGGTCCTTAATCTAGCAGAGAAAAAAGTTCTTAATGCCACGCGGAACGGGTTTCATACTGCTGAAGATCAGAGAGTTCACAAAAACGGAGAAAATAATGGCGATGACTGCTCAAGTGTGTCTTCCATTACGGTTTCAAATTCCATTGAAGAAAGTGGCAAAAACGGGTCACAGGAATCCTTGTTACAGAATAATAATAATAATAATTTCGCTCCTCATGTCTCGTGCATTTCTAGTGTTCCTTGGCCTTATCCTTGGAATTCTGCAGTTCCTTCGCCTCCAGCTATGTGTCCTCCCGGGTTTCCTATGTCATTCTACCCTGCATTTTGGAACTGTGGGGTGCCAGGGAATTGGAATATTCCGTGGTTTCCCTCGCATCCTTCAGTTCCAAACCCTAGGTCTCCAACCTCTGCTCCAAATTCTCCCACCCTAGGGAAACACTCCAGAGATGATGACTTTACTAAAGAAGAGCATTTGCATAAGGAAGAAAGGCAGAGAAATGGGAGCATTTTGGTCCCTAAAACTCTGAGAATTGATGACCCTAGTGAAGCTGCAAAGAGTTCTATATGGGCAACACTAGGGATCAAGAATGAATGTGTGAGCGGAGGCGGCATGTTTAAGGCATTCCAATCAAAGAAAGATGAAAAAGGCCATGTTGTTGAAACATCTCCAGTGTTGAGGGCGAACCCTGCAGCCTTGTCTCGATCCCTTAATTTTCATGAGAATTCTTGACTTAGCAACCCTTTGAGACATGGGTTTGAGACGGTGACCATCTTTCAGCAGTGGCCAATTTGGTTTAGCCTCATTAAGTTTGAGATGAAGTGAAGGTTGGTAGTCTCCAATTTCCTCGACATAGGGTAGGGGGAACTAATCTACTAGGAGGTTTTAGTGGGATGGTGGCAACCAATTTTTGTCTTTCATGTGACACTATGAACAGTTAGCTTTATTTTTTTTACATGCTTAGTTTGCTGAGTTTGAGTTCATGTACATATATAAATATATGTGAAAATACTTGCTAGAGATGGAAAAAGATATTTACCATGTATAAAAACTCAAGGGTACTGTATTTTGTTATGAAAAGGGAAAACGGGACTTTTCCTTTGGTTAACGTGTTTTTGGTTCTTCGTGGAAAAATCAACGCATTTTGTGGATAGTTTGCCATCCCTCTGAATCTGAATATCAGTAGAGGTATCTACTTTTTCAAAAGGTGAGAAAAAGAGACAAGTTCAGAACCAGAATATAAACCACATACACTTGTCAGAGTCATATATCTTGTCGCCTTTTCAAATGCAATAATTTATTAAATTAATCTCTAAAATTGTAACTATCAGTTAATTAAACCATTAAAATATTCAATATTATTTTAATACTTAAATTTATTAAATATGAATTATTTGAAAATAAAAAATTAAATTGATTAGTATTTATAATTTGATAGAGATATATTATTCTGAAAGAATGATTAAATTTCTGAAAATATAATACTAGGAAGTTATTCTCACGGGTGAAGGGTAGAATAGTGGGGCTACAGGGGAATTGAAGATATTTTATTTAGACCCTCTTTGGATAAACTTGCATCTAAAATATGACAGCTAGCTGTACTTTTTCTCGCTCAAGGATCTAGCAACTAGAATAAAAGCTGGACCGCTAGAATTTGCCTTCCTTTTCCTCTTTTTAACCCTCTATTTCTTTCTGTGTTTTAAATTTGGCTACACTATATCATATAACCAGCTAAAGACAAGTACAGGGATGAAAAAAGAAGCATATTCCTCTTCTTGTTACAGTGTTACGAGGAGAAAGATTAAGATAAAGTTAAGCATATGAGATAACATTCAAGCGGATACATTCTTGACGACCCTGATTCACTTAATTTTATGATATTAATTCATCATAAAAGATAAGAAATTTTCAATATAACAGTGACAAAATCCTGGAAAACTTGCTCGCTTCTCTTGGGTAAGGACTTGATTGGAAATTGACAAATTTTTTTATATATTATGATATTACCTTTTATACAAATTTTAAAAAAGCATAGATTATTTTTTTCATAATGTCTCACACAATCAGTTTTATATAAAAGAATTTGATAATTTCTATTACATAACTAAAAATGTTGTTTTGACATTAAAAATAGTTATGAAAGAATTATCTGATAATTATTCTCTCCTTAGTTGAAAGTGAAATAAAATATGTTGTATATTATCACTGGAATTATCCCTATACCGCACTTTGCGGTGGATACATCAAAATCAGTCCAATATGTGCACTCGATCAATCACGCACAAGAAAACACAGATATTTTCTCAGCTTCAATCTAATACAGGCCACACCTTGTGAATAAGATGAGTTGGGATGGGACCCTTTGATACAAAAAAAAGACACATTGGCAATATCCTCTTCCTCTTGGCATTGCATCCTTTGTTACTTTTGGCTTTTCTTCTCTTTTCCTTTTTGCCCTTTCCCTCTTCTTAAAGAAAGCAACCATTGATTTCTTTTCCTCCATATATCTATGCCAAGTTTCAATTATTATCACAATTAAAACCATATAGACACCTCATTGGAAGTAAGCATCATCATTTATTCCTTCCCATCTCTAATAATAATAATAATAAAAAGCTTACTATAAATTCACATATCTATACCTTCTCCCTAATTGCCAACTACTGTACCCACAATTTAAGATATTCGGTATTTTTCATTTCCAATATTCTCAGACTCTAAAATGAAAAGGACACTTGTATTTTCTCCATTTTTTATTAAATTCCCTAACATTTTGGCAGCCAATAGCCACATATCCATTACTCATACCACTCGAAGAGTCCTCTGATCAAACTAGCAGCCAATATATTAGAGAGGTTAAAAGTAGTAATTCTGCCAAAATTCAATCGCCAAAATTTTAGTTACTAATAATGGGTTTTCCCAGTTTTAAACACCAAAGTGAATTTTTGGTAACTCATTGTTCAAGTGTGATAAATTATGGCAAAAATTGATTACCGTGAAGAAAGTTCTTCATGCTTTAAAATCACCCATTTGCAAATGTTCAATGCAATTGGCCCCACGAATTTTCTTCTATTGGCTAAAAGTGCCTAATACTCTTTATTATAAGGTTTGACAAATACAGTTGTTAAGCCATTTTCACCTCTCTTTTAGTCATCTGAAATATAATTAAAATGAAAAGAGTAAAGCAGAATCACTTAAGACTACGGGACACGGTTTAGGAAGTGTAGCCACTTATAAAGCTGACTTACTAGAAAAGCAATTCTAGAATCGTTGCTTGATGCTCTTATCCCTCTTTTCTAATCCATTGTCAACTTCAATGGATTGGGAGTCAGCTTCCCACTAAAACTTTATGCTAAATCTATAAGTTAAATTAATTTGAATATAACATGTAGTGGATGAACCACAATATTTTTACATTGAATGTGCTAGGTACCCATATGTATCTACTTACTAATTGATGCAAATTGATTTTCATCTTCTTTACCAGAGGGTTCATACCACATTGACACTTTAAGTCAACCATTCATGTGAAGCATCTCTCTCCCCCTTAAAATTCCAACTATGATGTATAACAAGTTTGGATGAGTGTTAAAAGTCTTTACAATTACATTTAAAGATGTAAACATGATTTAATATTTTTGTAAAATGTTTGATAATTTTATATCAAACTTTACTATAATATATTTTATTATAATTTTTTTAATATAAATTATTTTACTTGAAACTCACTTTTAATTGAAATCGATTTCATAAAATTAAGTTAATTCAAAAATAATTTTCCAAATCCCCAACCAAACACACTTACTAGATTACAACATTATGATTCTTTTCCATTAATAACCCATTACGATTTAACTCTATTAGTAAGAAACTCAAAATCTTACTAGTTCTAAATCATGACATTGATTAAGTCAAATATATATTGTCTTGCGCTGATACATAGCAATTGCCCATGACCAAAATGTCAGGAATGTCACTCAAAAGGAAGCGTGTCAAAAAAGAAGAAAAATTTAGTTGGAAATGCATATTGAAGAAAGTGTGGACTTCAAGCACTAGTTGTTGACAAAAAGTCAATAAAGAAGAACGCAAGGCAATCCTTTTTTTAGGCCTCACTATGGGGCAGAGTGATTTGTTTTCTAATCAAGACAAAAGCAGCACATTGATACTAAAGCAAAAGGTTGAACACAATAAAAAACTATTAGGAATAGTAAAAGAAAAGGCATTTATTGAGACAAGGTTGGTAACCAAGCCAGATGGTAAGATATCACGTTCCATGTATTTTTATGCGAGTTACCCGCAACGATATCAAATTTTATCTTTGAAAAATAAATTGACCTTATATTCAGATTTTAGATAAGCACACAACAGGAATTATGAGTTTTTGACTAAACAAAATTGTAACATTTAAAATTATTCTCCAAAAATATTAAAATAACTATTTTATTTGTTCGTGGTAATAAGGACTCTTACAGAGAAGAAGATTTTAAAAAAAGGTAGAGACTAGGAAATTTATAATGCTATGACTTCAGTTTTGGATGATGAATTTTTCAAAACAATCTATATATATATATATAAACTTTGACGCTGTAAAATAGAAATATTTTGCTTGTCCACTTATTGATGATAATGAAGTTGTTGAAAAAGATAAGTGAATATCTGATGACTTCAAATGTTCATTGGAGCATATTGTTATTATCCTTCAAATTCTACATCTATAAAAAAGGCATGTATGCTTCCACTTTTTAATACCATTGTATTTTACATATGGTAGACTAGAAAATAATTTACAATACTTGTCTCAAATAAATTCTAAAAACAAAAAACTGTTTTTTGAACTATTAGAAGGACATATTTTTTTGGTGTTCTCTTGTAATTAAGATATATTTTTGGAGATACGTGTATAAATAAATAAATAAATAAAAGATAAAAGTAATAATATATAACATTATATATAGAATTAAGTTTTTAACTATACAAAATTTCAAATAACAAAATTAATCTTAAAAATACGAAGAAAACTTATTTTAATACAACAACACTGACTCTTAATCAACATTTAATATAAATATAAGAATACTTTTAGCATGACTATTCAATTTTTGTCATATCAAATATTATTTTAGAAGTGTATGATAAGAAATGCTTGCCTAACAACTCCAAAATTGCATTTATTTCATACATTGCTAAACTCTTCTAATCACATTACAAGTGTGTTTCACCAATTGGTAAGTACTCAATTTAAAATAATTATTAAAAATATCTCCTCTAACATTGAAAAAGTAGAACATTTCGTTGCTTTTAAGTCCATTGTGAGATATATACTCATTTCAGTTCTTTGCAATTAAACATGTCCAAAAAACAAATGGAACCTAAATACAAGAGTGTATAAACTTCAATTCCATCGAAAAATCACAAAGACACAAACAAAATGTTCATGTAGTGTAATTAATTAGCAACATTTTTATTGGATTTGAGACAAAAAAAACTCTTCATTGAGTAATGTTAAATTACAAAATGAATGTTGATGCAGATAAACAAATACACGTGAAATTAGAGAACATGTCTGTATGGGTAAAATAAAAAGAGATGAGTCATTAAGAATACAAACTTTATAGTTGCAGCAGTCAACTATTCCTTCTCTTATCTCCAATTTTAACAACTTCAATAAATTGTAGAGTGGATATGATATAGTGAAACATTCCTTAGAATAACTATTTTATACTTTTTCTTTTGCTTTAAATAAAAGGACACATAGCTAATGTATACATGATTTTTGAGCAATACAACTTTCCTACTCATTCCTTTTAATGTCTCTTATGTCTATCTTTAATCATTAACAAATCTTAAGATAGTATTCGAGAGCGTCTAGCTTTTTGCCTGTACAACTCTGATGGCACGAGGTGACAGTTCTAGCAACAACAATGGCGATAGTTATATAGATCTATCACAAGATCCTTCTAGTTTGTATTATGTTCACGTAGGGGATGGACCTTCATCTGTAGTGGTCACCCCTATGCTAAATGGCTCAAACTATCATGCGTGAGCTCGTTGCATGAGACATGCCTTGGGTGCTAAGAACAAATTTAATTTCATTAATGGGAGTATACCAATTCCTAATAGTTTTGATTCAAGTTAAAAGGCTTGGAGTTGTTGCAACATGATCATTCATTCATGGATTGTAAACTCAGTGGTTGAGTCCATTGGCCAGAGCATAGTATTTTTGGACAATGTTGTTGATGTATGGAACAATTTGAAGGAGAG